CCCTACAGGTATGCATCCTGAAATCACTTTTTATCAGTGGTAAAAGCAGCAATAAATACTCTTCCCTAACTGAGCAGCTTACGGCCGGTGAGCAATGTGGCAACAACTAGCAGCTAGGGCCGTCCCGGGGGGGTGAGGGGTGCAGGGCTGCTCCAAACACCCCCTGGCTGCAATGCCATTGGGGTCCCTACAACCGAGCGCCCGGGAAGGACGGGCCCTCGCCTCCCACTTCTCCAACCATCCTAAAAGCACAGCCCACCCACAGCCCTGGGGAGGGCCTTCGAGAACCCCGACCGCTGCTTTCCCCCGTTACTGCCTCCCAACACCGTGCTCTTGCTAAGCCAAAAAATAGCCCCTGAGGCGTGCTGCTGGCAGGGCGAGGACGAGGAGAAGCAATGGGCTGCAGGGAATAACAACCTCGAGGCTTCAGTTTGCCTGCTGCACAGGCTGCTCCACCAAAGGAGGGACCCGTGTCTGCGTGTCATGCTCTGGGAACAACCCACTGCGGGAGCCCCTGCCCACAGAACCCCCCGCTGCACCCCCTGCTCTGCTTCCCCCAAGCCCCACCACTGTCCTCAGCTATCCCCAGCACAAGTCATGTGTGGACCTGGGCACCTGAAGTCTTTGCTGTTTAATAAAATATGAAAGGGGGAAACTCAACAGGGCAGCCCCCAAGCACTGGGGAACGTGAGCTGCAAAAATAATTAGGCGTAGCTTATGGACCTCTTCAGCAAATCTCTTAACCAACCCATTGCTCTCCACAAACCAAAACAACTGAAAAAACCTCCAGAAGACAGATAGCCTAGAAAATATCATGGTCGATCACGAGAAGGATTTCTGTATCGGGGCGGAAAAAACAGTCCATGCTAATTCCTGACTCTGGCAAACTTCTAACGAAGCCAACAGGACTGCTGCATCACCCCCTACTAGGGGGGTTAAACACTGTGCCCTCAGGAATTATCTGATTGCTTTTTTTTAAGGACATTTTTAAGTTCTAGCACTATTTATTTTACACCCAACAGTATGTCAGGCGTTTCACAGCAATTAGTGAAACCCCCTAGACTTCCAACTGAGACCAGCAACCAACCGAGTAGAGCGAGACAGAGGACATCGGACTCTCTACAGTTCTTCTCTGTCCTAACGTGCTTTTGGCCAGCTCCAACTCTTACTTAATCTTTCCATTAGGAAAGGTAACAAATCTTACTGACATTCCTTTAACCCTCTCTGCCACGCAAGCATTTAGGACCAGCTCGGCCTGGCAAGCTGAGCCCACCGGCTTTTCCTGCGGAGAGGACTCCTGACCATCACTGCTGCATCGGCCGCGCTCCCTCCCTCACTCCACAGGACTGGCAGACGCTCCGTCCTGCGTGACAGCCACCACGGCTTTCCACTCCCATTTTCTCTTCAATCTATTCCATCTGCCTGCTCATCCTCCCCTCTTTTTGTGGTCCTCGTTCCCCTTCTCAGTAGATTTCAACACCGCATCCCCTGTCAAACAGGAGACCCTGGCCAGCAGCATCTCAAACCACATCACGTGTCTAGAGCACGGGGCACCCATGATACGAATTTAGAGGTGGTAAAATCAAGTCCGAGGGCATAGCGGTCACTAACGAAATGAAAACCTGTGTGAGAAGAATGGATGAGAAATGGAAAGAACAGCAAGTAAAATACTGAGGCAGAGGAGGTCACTAATCAAAACATACCAAAGAGTGTAAGGGACCTTCATAATTGGGAGATGATGACGCTTGACCTCCATTTCTAGACCAAACAGCTGTGCCTGCTAATAGTAAAATTGGAATTACCATTAGAACTATGCAAACAAAAATGTCTTTCAAACTTTTTGGACAGTTTTGTAGACATGTAAATGCCGTATTCCAGATAGACTATAGAGCAGACATATGGAGAACTTCCAAAATACACATGGATGAAAAAAAAAAAGGTATTTTGTAGCAAAGCACGTAGATGCAGGCCACAAAGTTCCCCCAGGCTGCTCCTCCGCATAGAGGGCTGCATTCATTCGGCAGCTGGAGCTGCGAGAGGCTCCGGGAGAAGGAAACGTCTCGGTGGTGGAAGGAGAAGCAGCGCTGCCGCAGGGTGCTGCGGGGCGGCTGGACCCCTACGCGAGCCCAGCACAGACTAGCCCATTCTCCTAGCCCTGCTTCCAGACACACTCAGTGCCACTGATTACGTCATCCCACCATCAAATTTACAAAATCTTAAAAAAAGAAGTCAGTAAAAGCACTGCACACAACATTCACGTATACGCTGATAAGGTTTGCGCTCTCTTTGGGCAGATTATTTGGTTTGGCCCAGTGAGACCGCCAAAGGTCTGACCGAAAACCTTCTGGTTTGTATCCGCTGCTCTAAATCTGTTCCTGCTGCTGCGGGAAGAAAAGGGCTCCTGGTCTCCAGCAGCATTTTCTAAGGAAAAATCTGCCCTTGTGAAAGAGGCAAACATGGGGAAAAGAAGTTTTTTTCAAGTATTTTTCCCAACAGCTTTTATATATATAGCACAACGCTTAGACAATTTATAATATTCTTTTGAACGAGTGATCTTCTGAATGATCTCATAAAACGGGATTAAGAATTTGAGATGGAAATACTAGGATTTTAATCTTAATGTCTACGTTGAGTGGCATTTGCTTGGACTGAGATAGGCCAGGGTGGAACTCAGGCAATTTTTTTTAGGCTCTCACAGTTAAGGTTCTGTTTCTCATAAAAGTCAAAATTATGTCAGTTCTAATTAAAACTTAAATCTTCCCTTTTCTGGTCCCCATGGAGCTTTTAGTTGAGGTTTTGCTACAGCACTGAATGAAGCAATGAGCAGCAATCTTTACTTTCGAAATAATTTTTAACTAGCCCTTGATATCCTTGAGGGAAAGCGTCTTGCATGCTAAACACTTTCAGCTCTTTTAAATGCACTTACACTCCTTATTTTTATTTATTTTGACACTCGGTTCTCCCTATTTACCCAGTAGAGCCTGCAGAAAGCAATGCAGCCCAAATTCGCACGGGATTTTTCTCTTTGGCTCAGCCCCTTCCATCGGGAAGGAGGGCAGCGCCTCGCTAGGCGAAAGGCAGCCCCAGTGCCGGGGGTGCTACACCTCGGGGGTGGTTCCAGGCAAAATAAGGGCAGAAAGCCTTTTTCTGAGGTGCGGGAACCCCCCAGGCTATGACAGGCCAGGTGGTCCCTCTGTCCCCCATCCCCTGCTGGGGGTGGCTTTGTGGGGACATTTGTTGACTGGATGTCACCCCGACGTTACGTGCTCCTTCACAGCAGGTGAGCGTGATGGAGGTGGACGTGGTGTCCTTCTGGACCTCGTCCTGCAGAGGCTGCCAGCTAGCACAAGCTTCTCTCCATCCCTCCTTCCAAAAGGGTCTCGTCACTGTAGAGCTGCTACTAGGTCTAGGTCTCTGAGGCTGGGGCACCATTTTAAAGGATCAGGAGCCCAGGAGCTCCCTCCACCTCTGTCGTGCTACTCGTGCCCCATGGAGAACGAGGGATGGGTCACACCTCTCGCCAGCACTGCCCTACGGGAACACGGTGGCCTTTTAGGATTCCCAGTGAGGTTAAGAGGATCCAGGGCTCGTGCACAAAGAAGAGGAGACCGGGGTCTTTGGTTATGTGTGATACAGACCTCGTCTCAAAGGGGGGATGGGAAGCCAAGAGGCCTTCTCCGAGGCGTTAGCATGTGCCGTGTGGGAGGAGAAGCCTAATACTCTAGCTGAAAAGTCTCAAGGTTTAAGAAATCTGAATTACGTTCAGGTAAACATTTAAAACACCTGATGCTCATGGGAACTACCCTGGGCCTCCGGATCTTTTCAGTTTAGGCTTTTATTAGTAAAGTGGGTCTAGTTAAAGTATGCAATTATTGTAAACAAAGTATAAAATTAATCAACTGGATTCACAGGGGCTCAGTTTGTCCAGAGACATATTTTATGGATCAAACAGGCTTTTGCTGCGGCCCCGGGAGGGGATGGGGGAACATACACAAGGAGATGTACCTGGCACGGCCACCCCGGAGCGAGGCTGCCGTGAGGGCTTGGGTGTCCCTGCACAGGGGCACGGCCACGGCACGGGGACACGCTCTGCACAGGGCAGAACTCATCTGCCACGAGACCCCGAGGGCACTGCAGGAAGCCGCAATAAGGATGCGTAAAACCACTGCTTTTCTGTAAATGCATCCGCCCGAGAGCGGCAACGACCTTCTCTCTGCACTGGAAATACAGCGTGTAGGACACCTCTCTGCTCATCTCTGTGGGACCACCAGCCACCTGCACGTGCTGCACAGCAATACGGGAACCGCCTGGTGCTGCCGGCTGGATGCACATCTCACACCCAGTACCGTAGGAGCTCATTTAGGCATCTCCTACCAAAAATATGTTGAAACGTTCAGTAAAATAGAATTGTAACAACAATACCTGAGAGAGAAGGGGGAGAACCAACAGGAGTTGAAGGATTTGATGAAAAGCTGTTGTTGGTGTGATCTGGAGAATAGATCTTTAAAAGATGATACAGAATTAATCTAAAGCCATCACAAACTGATGCAGAAAGAAATATGGAATTCTTATGCATTCAGTTCATTTAAATGAAAGCAGGACAGGTTAAAAAGCCTCTTATTCAAATATTAATATTTTTATAAAGACAAAACTGTATTAGATGCAGGAAGCTAGACAACAGACCCCTTTTGATGGGAACAGACACTAGCCAATTAAGCGATGGTTTCTGATTGTCACACGGATCTGCTACGGTAGATATACACATTTTCATTGCATAGACTACTTTACGAATGACTGTCATTGAACGAAGCCTTAAAGCACGCCTGAAAATTGCTTTTTTGTTATGCTGAAATCCCTTAACGGCCAAAATAAAGCAAAGGGAGCAGAGCACGTTAAACCCTGGCACAGCGGGTAATCCGCAGCAGCAAACTCCAGCTACTCGTCCGCTGCTCCGGTGAGAAAGCCCCCGCGTGCCCCGTGCCCGGGCGAGGGTGCCGCCGCCCCGCGGCGTCCCCGCTCACCACCCGTGCCATTTGTCAGGGCACCACTTCAAAGTGGATTCTGTACTGTATCAGTTATTTCAGGCAAACTAGAGTCTGACTTTTCGTCTTTTTCAATGAAGCATCGAAGAATATGCAAAAAAAAATTAACTCTCATGAGAACTCAATGGAACCCACTCTGCCCAGAAAATAACTATAGTGGTCCTTATTAAAAGTCAGCCCATGCCAACTGGTACCGCAGCGATAGCTGGGGCACGGCAGGGTTTCCTCCCGCCTTGAGCTGGAACACTGCCGTACCCCAGCTACCCAGGTAAGAGGTGGTAACTGCTGACTTTAACAGCAACCACAGTAACTGAATAGGTGGAAACTGCCATGAAAAATAGAAAATCTAAAGGCAAATTCAAAAGGAACCCTGTTTGCGGATGGCTCGGTAGTGCAGAAGTCATCCTGCCGCTGGGTTCTGTTCAGACCTCCCTCGCCCTAGGAAATGCAGTGTGTGAAAGACTGACAGACACAGCTCCTTGGCACCCAGTCAGTGTGACCAGGTCAAGGCTTCCCCGCTTCCCATTTCTATTCTACCATAAAATTAGGTCTAAAACTTTTTCAACGCCATTTTGCACTGATTGTTCAATATTTCAGTTGGCAGTAACTCCACGCGGGTGACCTCTGAGACCAGATCTCTCCCGTTTGCTGTTCATCTTCGTAAACTCCAGGCGTCCAATTCTGATTAAAGTTCACACTTTCAAAACGGTAAACGTGTATTCCAAAGTAAATATTTCCTTACAGAGGCAAGTGCTTTCCCCAGCGCATCACCAGTCTGCGAGCTGCCTGCTGCCCCACTTCCTCTGTTTGCTGAAAAACAAAAGACTCGATGTAAAAACAGACAGTAAGACATCATAGACTTTTATTCCTGGTCCACTTACTCATCATTTAATTGCATTTTAATGTTAATTACATAAAATTAATCTTTAATCACCATTAATTTGTTTGCTAAGGTAGGTATCAAACGCATTCACACTCCATTTTTGCAGATAAAATATAAACTTGACATGCTGGGTTTTTTTAAAATATATTGCGTATTTGATAGTACTTGGCCATATGGCTTTACTTTTTCTGAATGAAAGGCTTCTAATAGGAGAAGATGCGCAAAGAGATGGAAAATATGCAAGCGCACAGCTAGGAAAGCCCGTGGTGAGACGAAGCCTGGGCTTGGGGAAGGGCTCCTGCCTCCCCTGCCCCGTGCTCGGACCCAGTGCCCGTCCGAGGGTGCTGAGTTTGTGCTCTAGGATGTGCAAATCCACTCTAACGAGGGTTTTCTTCTTCAAAAACTCTAAGGCACTTACATGTAAGGGCAATATTTCACATATAAGATGTCAAAAACTACTGCAGAGGAACATTATAAAGGCGGCAAAGACAAACGCCCCGGAGCTGGGAACGCCAGAGCTCAGCCTGCCTGCACAGCCCAATTTCTCTCTCTGCGCCCGCACTGGGAGCAGTCATTAATTCCAGGCTCCTGCCGCGCTCCCAGGCAGCCCTAGCCTCCCTCGCTGCACGGGAAGGACAAAGTGCCATTAATAAGCAGCTACCCAGTATTTTGTTTTCTCCTCATTCACTCTGTGACCCTGGTCCTTTGTATACTTTTCAATGCATGTTTTAAAGACGTTATTAAACTCTTATGGACTTTTCCAAAGCGTTCCTTCTGACTTCACTTGAACATTTGATGAGCATTTAATGAAATGATTTTTCACCATCTCTCAGGTGATGGGATTGCATCTTTTATTTAAGAAATGTAGGGCAAGAGAAATCATGGTGTAGCAGGCCACCAGTTTCTCACGCTCAGGTGATAGGATTGAAACTTCTCCGTTACAGGAGAAAAAGAAGGAAAGAAAAATTAGGGTGAAACATCCCACCAGTTTCAGCATCTGCATGTCCATTTATGAACTAAAAGCGCAGCTTTGGCTGACTGCTGCCCGTGATCAATACTTCTGCTTTCATCTCCGAGGACCCTAAGTCAGGCGGCCAGAAAACGAGAAACAAGAAGTCGGTGACGACCCCGGAAAACCTGGATTAATGTCTGGAACGTGAGGGCTGAGGCAGGAGAGGATCCTGTAACGCAGAGGGGCTTGAAGGGCTTCAGTCCCCCTGTCTCCCCCCCCGGCAAGCCCCTCGGCAGGCTCTGCACCACGAGGCCCCGGGATCCTGTGCCCAGAGGACTTCAGGAGCAAACCCACCCCCTGCTCTGAGCCAGGGGCATCCCACGGGAAAAGGAGTCAGGGACCAAATTGTCCACGTTTGTACCACAAAGTGCAAGCACAGGCACATTTTTGGTCATTAAAAAGCAATATTAAAAAGCCTCCTCCAAGTTTCACCCCAGCATTATGCAGTTAAATACTCAGGGCATGGGAAGGAGCAGGGTTGGGTCCATTCTACAGCTCTTTGATTTTGTCATTGGTGTAACTAGTCACTAATAACTGCATGTATATGGACCAGGACTCAAAGCTGATGAGCTGATCTGCCTGTGGATGTTGCAGCTCCGCAGCAGCAGCAGGGATATCTGGGCTTCGGGGACCTCCCTGGTCCGAGGGATGTCCTGCCATGCCCCTTCAGAGCAACCCTTCTGCTCCACCTCCTCCAGTCTTCCCACCCTGAAAGCATTTATCTCATCCACTGTCCCCGTTCAGCTTTTCCTAGTCTCCATCCCTTGCCCCTTTCATCCCAGCCTTCCTTGCTTAGCAGTTACCGTATCTCTGCGGTCAGAGGTATCAGTTATTGATCCTCCATCCTGCCTAAGCCCAAAATTTCTAGCAGCAGCTTCAGCAGGGTCTAGTTAGGAAAACTTAAGGAATGGCACGGAACAGCGTTTTCCTCCTATTTCTCACGTACAACGTGCATGTTATCAAATTTAAGAAATGCAGCCCTTTACATTTAACCTGACTGCGTAACTCGGACGTTTCAGCATTTCTCCTACAGCAGACTCCTCTGGAAAGGCCTCAAGGACTACGTGTGTCCCAGATGCTGTTAGACAAACTTGTACAGTGCGGTTTGCAAGTACGTCTTTGCTCACTCCTTTTTTCCCCCCTTTTGTTAGTTAAACTTTTACTTTTATTATTGCTATTTGAAAATGTGCTCATCTGCCAATGACAGCTTATTTGCGATCTCAGCTCAGTTTGAAATTAGGCATCAAGATGTATAAAGAAAGATACACAAAGAAAAAGTGAAGACAGATAGAACAGGTGGTGTCAGCTAGAGATACAACTTATCAGGGTAATATAATGTTGTAAATCACAACCTAAAGGTTTGCGACTTGAATAATACCAGGCAAATGTCCAGAAATTCAGTTACTTCGCTCTAAAGTGAACTGTGAATCTAAATCTAAATCGTGCATTGTTTTTTCCTTTTTCTAAGTGACTCTAACTACATTATTCTAAAATTAAGTCCTACATTTGTCTGTCTGAAGGCTGGTTTCTCCTAATGAGGCAAGTTATACCAGTCCTGCGGGAGAAGCAAACGCAGGGACCACAGTCTTGCTCCATGTACTCGTGGAAACCTGACAGCACTGAGCTGGGCCACGTATTGTATTAGTCACCGCTAAGAACAAAGGAATTCTTCAGATATACTGAATATTAAACTTCTCCTGAAAGACTTTGAAGAAAAATTAATGCAGTAGGCCTGGAAAACATACAGGGAGAGCCTCAAGGACGGGCAGCAGTGTGCAAAGTTCCCTTTGCAGAGAAGAGGAAGCTTCACTGGGAAAGGGATGCTTGAAAAGCAATACAGTAGAGGTTTGTAACATGGGGAAGGCAAGCTCACATCATTATTCATTGCTCTCCCCATATAAAAACTGAAAGCCACCCATTAAAACAAACAAAAAAGAGGTTTTTTTTTTTTCCACTAGTGTCCAGTCAGACGGGGAAACTCGTTGCTTTAAGGTACGCAAAGACCAAACACATAAACAGATTTAAAAAGAACTCGATAAATTCATGGAGAAGAACATCCATTGGTGGCTACTGAACACCAGCCCCAGATGCAACCCCAACTCGGGACGGCTCCGAGCTGCAGGCTGCAAAACCCCAAGGAAAAGCCAGAGGAGGGAGGAGCGCACACACGGCCACTTTGGCTGAGGCTCCCTCCCAGCTGCCGGCCGCCCCCAGCCTCCAGTGCTCTTGGGTTTGGGTTCTCGGGGACAGAGGAGAAAATGGGCAAATGAAACTAAGGCACCTTCTGCATGGAAGAGTAAGTTAACCATAAGCAGACAGAGATCTTCTAAAAGTGTTCATGTCCTGAAAGTAACTGGGATTACTTAAATACAGCTAACTTTTTAATGTATGGTTTTTATTTCTTACATCACTAATGGTTTTAAATGTAAATTATTATTTGCTTTAGCTATCATTTTGGTAATGTAAGGGACATGACTGAAATCTCTAGGTGACTAAAGAAAACCCCATATTTGAAGGAAGAACAGAAAAATGAAGTCTTAAGAAGAAACACAGCAAGGAGTGTCTGCTCCAAGAGCCCAAAGATTTTGGGAGCAACGGGACAAAACTAACACCATCCCAGGACCGGGCACTACAGAAATAAGAACGAGACCTCAAACGTAGGAAAAGGTAACCCAGGGTATCACTACAGAGAAAGGTAATGTACAGTGCTGCTTTACACAGGGAATGGCTATGGAATATAATCAACTGTTTCTATTAATATCGCACAGTTGTTGGTCCATCACTTTACCACCAGCTTCAATGAAACACTCTTTAAATACAGCCACTGACGCCCCAACAGCTCAGCAGGGACAGGCTTAGCTGACAGCTTCGGTGTGTGCACTACAACTGCCAGGTTTAAACCATCGGGATATTTATCCGAGCTCTGAAAAGCACCGCTGGTGTCCAGAACAGCACCCAGAACAGAAGAAAATTTATATGAAAAGCAAAAACTATTTGGTCTAGGCTGGGACATGCATCGTGAAGACAGATGCAGATACTCAGAGCACGTCCGTGCAGACACCGCTCCTCGTGCACGAGCGGGCGGCGGGGAAGAAGGATTGCAGCCCAGCCCAGCTGGCATCAGATTTGTCATCCTGCACCAAAGAGCAATCTGATGAAATCTGCGGACGGTGCTTGCACAGCAGCCCTATAAATCTTCCCGGCAGGGGCATTCGCAAGGTAACCTGCAGAGAGTGTGCCAGACCCCGGCTGAACAAACTCTGAAATAACTTGAGGGTCATCATGGTAGGGTCTCAGACTGCCTAAAGCCTCGCTCTTCACCTCTGGGTAAAACCCATCCTCAGCCGGTTTTCCAGAAGAATGTAGAATGCAGAACAGATATTGATCCTACCTAAACAAACGGCTTTCATCACATCCAACAAGAGCTCCTCCACTTCCCTTCACCTCCCTTTGGAAGAAAACCATAAGATGTACGGGTTGAGCAGGATGGGAGGAATTAGGCAAATATTTAATGCAAGTTACATGTAAGACCAAGAAATTTTTAATGGCTTAAGAGTTAATATTAGAAGCTTTTTCAAGCCCATGAGAAATAAGGTCAACGGTGGAGAGTTGGTAGGACCTGCAAACAACCAAGATGCAACAGGAGAATTCAAGGGAAAAAAGGGTAATGGAAGAAATGCTAAACAGATCATTTTCATCTGCCTTGCCATAGGACAGATGGTATTTTACAAGGGATTAGTCAGAAAAATTGGCTCCAACTGAAGTGTCAATGTAAAGGCTTTAAAATAAATCAATAAGAAGAAAAATAAAGACAAGCCAAAGGACGTTTCTAAGAGCTCTCAAGAAACTCAAACACAAAATTGTCTAACCTCTAACCGCAGTGTAAAACCCACTGCTTAGACCAACCTAGTGCTGAAGTAAAGAAGGTAGAAAATATTAAAAACCAATATTGAAAACTAAGTTTGGTGAATTCAAAGAACCACCAGATTTTAAATCCGACTTATACTAGGAAAGATAACAAAGAGCAATACACATATGGATAAATACTCCACGTTGCACAACCAACACTGCTTTTTTGGAGGAAAGCATGTCTTGTAAGTCTAAATTCTTTCAAAAACATGATGAGCACATCAATGCAGGAGATCCAGTAATGTAACTGCTTTGTACTCCCAGCTTTCAACAAAGCCACCTCCCAAAGGCTCTTAAAGAAACTAAACTGTCTTCAGATAACAGGGAAGTGAGGATATTCTTGCAGATTAAGAACTGATTAAGAGAGAGACTACAAGAACAGGAATTAATCGTTAGCTTTGTAACGGAGGAGTATTACCAGCAAATTCCCAGTTGTGCGGATCTGTACTGTTCAACATACTCATACATGGCCTGGAAAAAGACGTGGCATATACCGAGGCTGTGACGCGTGGCAAGATCCTGATTCAGGATAATAAAATACGATGTTATGTGTAAAGAGGAGCTCTTGTAACACTAACTTGCTGGGCAATAAATGCCGTACATACATAAAAAACACCAGGCAACAAACACGGGGCGAAAAAAGCCTTATGCCATGAATACACACAAGCAGGCTCCCAGCTACCTAACAAGCAGTCCAGAAAGAGGAGAAAACCTAGAGCTGCAGTCAGGAATTAGCTGACAACCTGAGCTGATGGTTAAGCAGCAGAACCAGCCCCTCGCTGCCCCCAGGAAAACCCCAACAACGAGCAACGACTGGGCAAAGAGGAGAGACAACCCAGAAGCCCGTTATGTCCCTCTACGAATTCACGACACACCTGTATGTTGGATACAGAGCAAAGATCTGGTAAGTCCATCAAGAAAGAGCATCAAGGTCTACAGAACAGAAGTGAAGTCAGATAAAGCAGAGGGTGGTTCCTTTAGAGGACGAACTCGATAAATATGGATTCTCCAGCTCGGAAAAGGGACCACTACAGCGGGGTATGACGCAGGCTACGTAAGCCCAAACAACAGGGCAGAAAGGCTATCATCTGGTCCTTATGGCAGCATGAGAAGGAGGGGGGACCACAGGGGGTCTTGAGGGAGCACAGCCAAAATGAAAGAGGAGGAGCACCGTTTCACAAACGCGTAACGTCACTGTGCCAGACCAAGCCTCCAGGAAAGGCTGGGTCACTTCATGGAGAAGAATGAACTCAAGCTTCCTAACTACTCAGCGCTGCACCCAGCCCTGGAACGACTGGGAAAATATCACACATGCTTGCTTTGTTTTTATGTTCCTCCCAAAGGCATCCTTAGAGTCTTTGCTGGAGACAGGACCATTGCATAGATGAGCTGTAGGTCTGAACAGGGACAGATATTTTCAAGTTCTTATGCAAAATCCTGAACAACTTAGCGCAAGGAACACCATGAAACTCCCCCAAACCTGGAAGGGCGCAGTTTATCCAAGACATTTCTGCACTGGGCTTTAATTGAACGAAGTAGCCAAATCCAGACTTTAAGAAAGGTTTAATTAATTAATTAATCAATGATGGACAAAGGTTTGAGGCAAGAGCAAGGGAACACTCAATGAAACTTCCAGGAAAAGAGATTAAAACAGGTAAGTGAAGTCCATCTCCACACAGCAGGTAGCGAGCGTGCAGCCAGGGGAAGCCGTGCAAGCAGACAGCCTCAGCAGGTTCAAAGGGGATTAGACAACCGCATGGGCAACAGGTCCATAAATAGGTGCTTGAAGAACCAGGCAGGGATGTCCCCTCCAACCTCACTATCGTGACAGTCCTGGGTGCTGGGGCAGTGCAAAGGGCAGGAGCTGCAGAAATGGCCAGGATCACGTTTTGCCACTGAATGCTAACTAGACGGACCACCCGTCTGAAGCAGTAAGGCATTTCTCATCTACCTCTGCTAGTCTTATTTCCTCAAACGGGTCTAAATGCACTTATTATTAGAGAATACAACGACACAGACGTGAGCCTGAACGCTGGCTTCCCCACTTGAGAAGGCAGGTCTCCACTGACACGAAGCATCAGCAAATTTTGGCATGATGCGGAAGACAAAGATAACTTGGGAACAGGACTGTAAAACGGGACTTGAAAATGCACCGCAAAAGCTGTCACTTTTACTTGTGAGCTATTCCCCCACTCACAAGACTATTAATGTACTGAAGACATCGTGAAAGACTGCAACCTTTTGATGGATTGATTCTAACTCTGTTGAAGAGCGTGTTTATTGTTACAGTTAATCTCCTAAAACTTTCTCAGCATGCTTCTGCGAAGAACAATTCTGCACTGGAAGGCAAAGGGACAGAATGATGAAGTACAGCCTTTTCACATCCTTCTGGTGGGATTCTGATTGTAAATCTTAGATTATTGAATAAAATTCCAGGAATCTGTATCTCAGCGAGTACAATTATATCTAGCAAAGCATCTCGTGTAACCGATAGGCTGGAGCCTTCTATTAGAGAATTCCAGCCAGACTTTTTATAGTTTAAATTCTAGTACAAACTCACGCTGTTCTGATGGAATAGCGCTTTCTGAAACAGCAGACTGGAAATTATGTTTCTATGTTAAGAAGAGTGGAAAAACTTGCACCATCTCGGTATTCACAGCTGATGATCTTCCCAAATTATGAGGAAGTGACATTGCTGGATAGAAGTCATATTCTTCTCATACTGCGTGACAGTTCACCACCCTCCTGTAACTGGAAGCTTAACATACTTGTAAAATATACAGTGCAGTATTATGTGACTGCTCTGGTAATAAAATTACTGTGAAACCAGTGCCTCAAGGGGAAATGCACATAATGTTTCTCCTGGAAAAGCTGCATGTCACAGTGCATAATGTCACACAAACAACATGTCATTAGAAGTGAAAGCAGCAAGCGGGATTAATACATGCATCAGATGGATACGAAAGACTCGTACAGCGTATGCTAAAGGCGCTCTATCTCAATAACTGGTTGCCTAAACATTGCACCGCTTCAGACCTTTGAAAATAAAAAGTCAAAGCTTAGCATAAAATTAACCACTGCCAATGCCGCCCTATAGTCCCTTGAAAGGATTCTCTCCCTCCTGCCTTTCAAAGCTGCACCACCATCAGGGAACGCAGCTCCTCTGCCCGAGCCCTGCTCACTGTGGTCTGTGTCCCCAGGTGGGGATGGCACGGCGGGGCTACGCCAACGCCCTCCCCGGTCACCTTGCCCGGGGACCAGGACGGAGGCACATCGCCTCCCGGCTGGGCCAGCTCCAACGGCTTTCTCAGGAAAATCAGGGACAAGGCAGCGTGTGCCCAGACTTCAGGGGAGGATCACTGGTTTAGGAGGAGAATAGGACTTGCACTGAGATCCAAGAAATACTTTTGCAGCCCTCAGTTCAGACACAGCTCAACAGTACTACTTGTTGAATATTTACAGCTGCTAAAAAACCCCTGCATGTTTGTATTGTTGCTCTTCTGATTCACACACTGGCTTTTTCAGGAGATGAATCCAGATGAAAATCTGGACGCATTTTTTACATGGGAAATTTAGGCACTTTTCTGGGTGGCTCCCTGAGGCACAGGGCAGGAGGCTGCATGCGCACTCCTACCTGTTCACATCCCTCTGCGAGATTTTTGCGTCCCTAAATATTATCTGTAAGGCTGCTGCATCACTGGTGTAAAGACGGCTGAATGAAATTTGACGCTATTAGACTTCTTTTGAGGGAGAAAGAGAGTGATTTTCCTATGTCACGGACACAGAAGCAGTGATACATTGTAAAGGAAGAACTCTCAATGGAATGGCAAGATTGAGCACAGAAATGCTATCCTGAAATGGGATACGTTTTTCTCAGACAGTGACAAATTAAGAAGAGACTGTATTTAGTTTCTTCTTTGTTCAGAGACCCTGAACAATATGATGCCCATGTGTTAATGTTTGAACCCACCCTCCATTCTTACTGCATTAGTCCTGCTCGCAGTCATTCAATACAGAATCACGTGTGTAATCCGAAACATGTGTCCAGCGATGTGTTCCCTATTTACCCATTATTTAATTAGCTTTATTTGCTCTTTGAGATACAGGCGAAGCAATATTTTTTTATTTCCTGTATTTAAGTATGAACCGGTATTTGCCAAATATTTAAGTATACAGAGGTATGCTCTTAATTTACAGAGTCACTCTCAGCGACGTCAGAGGCGGCTCTCTCTCTTACACGGACAAGCCGCCACCGCCGCTTCCCCCACACCCTGCGGAAGCCTAGCAAAGAACTGAAGGGGATGAATGTCGTGATACCGAAGTATCACCTCACACGGCACTGCAGGCAATTAAATCACTAAAGACAATAAAACCAGACTTCAAAACCAGCGGGATCAGGGGCTTAGCTGGTACAATGTCTTCCATACAAACTTTGAAGCAAAGCGCTTTGCTGTGATTATATTTAATTCACAAAAAGAAGTAGTAGTAGTAAAATGCGTAAGCAAAGGAGGCAAAGGTCAACTATGATATACTTATTTCCATGAAATTCTTGCTATCTTTCTGCACCTACTGAACTAAGAAGCTAGTCCTTCCGCACACCGGGATATACCATCAAATAACCCTCCACCCTGATTTCAGCTCTTTGGCGCTAGCACAGTGCACCGAAGCAGAGGAGAGTGGAGACAGGAGGGAAAGGGAGAGCCTCGGGCAGCAGCCGCAGTGCCCGACCTCAACTCACCCATGATACTGTCCGTCCCGTTGGCAGGGGGTGTGCAAGAAGATGCGCTGTAATGATTTGTGCCACTGCGGTGGAAGGTGGACATCGGAGGAAGACTGGAATTGATGTCTGCTGAGGAGTGTGATGGGTAGCTCTGTGGCAAAAAGGATTAAAAAAAAGAAATATTTTAACTATTGAGAACATGGAAGGCAGCAGGCTGCTCATATTGCCCCAGTCCCAAGCGCTGCCGTACTTCACCCAACTGAGAAAAGCAGAATGCTGCCCTAAGACAAAGCAGGGAGCGTATTTTTCTACCCTAACTTAGAATCATAGAATCATTAAGGTTGGAAGAGACCTCTGAGATCATCGAGTCCAACCGTCGACCCAACACCCCCATGCCCACTAAACCATGTCCCTAAGCACCTCATCTGCACGTCTTTTAAATACTTCCAGGGATGGTGACTCAACCACTTCCCTGGGCAGCCTGTTCCAATGTTTAACCACTCTTTCAGTAAAGAAATTTTTCCTCACATCCAATCGAAACCTCCCCTGGCGCAACTTGAGGCCGTTTCCTCTCGTCCTAAACTTGTCCTAACTTTTCATCTTCTGGAGGAGACGCCACACACACCTATCTGATATGGATAAATATCCACAGTGGAAGGCTCGTAACTCATGACGGTACCATAGAGATGTAATGAGAAAAAAATTAAAAAGAAAAGTTAGGTGATGTATCAAGCAAACCTTTCTGACAGGGACAGCTATTGGCTGGAGGAGAAGCCTTCCAGCGGAAGTGGTCGAGACCCCACGCTGCTTTTGACATTAAGAACAAGATCCGACTACAAGACGTGGGTGGCTGGTATTACAGAACGTGCCATAAGGAAACACACCGGCACCCCAGGTAATCAACTGGATCAATTTGCCCTCCCATCGCAGCGCCTGTGCGACAGACGGCCGAAAATGCGACAGATCAAGTTCTCCAAACAAGTGTGGGACAAGCGTCTGGGCAGCACACAGAAGACTTTGGTAGCTATATGGCTGGATCAACACAAACCTTCCTTACTGTGACACAACACTGCTGCGGTCTAGTGTTTTGCTGAATTTGCATGACTATAAACCTGGCTTACATTAGCGCCGTTTGTCACTGCTGAAGTCTCTTCTTGATCAGCGTAAGACACTGTGTGCAGACAGGTCTTAGAACATGCCCAGCTTTTATCTCTATCCCAGCGTTGCCCCCCGCAGAGAAGAGGTCCTGCAGAAGACCTCTAGGTTTTGGAGACTCTGATACAAAGCCTCCTTAGAAACACGGGTAGCTGGAGACACATGGCAGTGCCTGGCCCAGGACCAAGGCACTGAGGTTAGTGCAAGATCATCTCTGTGTCTTCTGCCTCCCTAGGTGGTTCAGCATAAGCTGGCTGAAAACATCCTTCCCTTCATTCGTACTATTTAATTACTGTTGCAGGCTTTCTTGCAATTAAGTGCCAAGTAACTGAATACTTGAAAGTTATCTCAAAGAATGTAAACAACATAGCCCAAACCTATTTTTCTTATCCATGGAAAAACGACTATCAACTCTGACTGAGGTCTGAATAACATTTTCAGGCTTTGACTCATTGTAAACCACTCCAGGGCTTCAGCCCCAAGCCCAACTGGCTGAAATGGCACAGCTGAGCAGATTTCTCCTGCGATGGAGAAACGAGCAAACGAGGAGTGCTTAGGCAATGGTCCGAACAGGAGCGACTCCATCTCCCCCGCTACACGGCTGCTCCGTGACACGTGTCGAAGTGCTGGTTTGGGATTTTCTCATTTCTCAGGGGGAGACGTCAAACCACTACTGCCAAACATTTTAGGAAAATCATGGGATCTGAATATAGTTTAGTGGAGAACTGTTCTCTGTATTCAGTGCATCTATTTAGAAAATCACTGCTATGCCTGAGAAAGTAAAAATAATAAACAACAGCTTTTCTTTCTTTCTTTTGCTATATGCATTTTCTCTACAGGGCTCTGAGAAGTTAAGGACATTTGCAGGGAACTGAACTGAAATCACTCAAACTTTCCTCGACAAGCTGACCGCGCGTGGATGCTGCAGCTGACCTCTCACTGATGCTCCAGCAGAAATTATGCAGAGTTTATTTAAAGTATCACTGCCTACCTTCTGTCCCAGTGACACCCAAAATATAGAAGGCTCTGCCAGTCCAGACATACATAATAAATGATTAATATGAGCATCGTCGGCACTGAACACCTGCAACTCAAACTGGTATCAGTGGCCCTCACTATCTTGGAAATTTAGGATAAATATAATAATACCTACATAGAAAAACACTCTGGGGAGTTCAGGTGGAATATCCCTACCCAATTTACATCGCAGAAATATTTTAACTCTTCATAAAAACCCCTCCATGTTACAAAACCAAGAAATTCAGAATCGGGGTAAACTTAAATGCAAAAATGTTTGCAGACTTGCCCCATGAAGGCACTCAGCTGTCTTACCTCTACCCTGAGCCTGTACCATGAAAAGCCACCTAATTCTGATGAATGAGTACCAGTGCAGGTAACAAATTAGATTAAATTGGGTTTTAAAAGTTATGCTCAATTTTTATTATATATGCTTGTCACTTCAGAGCAACGTTAAGTTTGCTTAGTGCCTTAATTATGCCTTTTATAAGGACATGATTAAGCAGTTTTTGAGGCAATTTCTTTTGCTTTTGACTTCCTATTAATTTTCCATAGCAGTGTGCTAACCTCATTAAATGTGAGACTTCAAAGATTTGTTTTGCAAATTAATTGTCAGTTTGCAAGAGTGAGTTTAATTCTTCTTACTCCCCAATAGATGGTTCTGCAAGACTTTACAGCAACGGACTCCTTCCTCCCTTAAAACCAGTACTCCTCATTACTCTTCCTTTTTAACCGTCTTCAAGAATGAAAAGCAGAGGTACAGAATAGAAGAACATTACTTGTAACGTTGCACGCGTGTTGAGAAAAACTACTTCACTTTAGCTGTCTGTTCGTTTCTTTACCTCTTACTTAAAAGCAAAACAAAACCAAAAGAACCTGAATTGATGCAATCCAGTGTTACTTCTACATAATCAATTCAGCCGTGATATTAGGAGAATATCCCCTAAGCTGCACTCAGATCAGATTTAATTCCACTTTTGTTCTATTCCAATACAATAGATGGAATCGGTCCCAGCAGCTTCCTCCTGCGAGAGGTCAGGATGTACCGGAGAAAATTAAAAAACCTCCCTTTTTTAAAGCAGAAAATCGATGCTAGCTAGTTATCTATAGAATCAGACCAGTAAAGGTCACTGAGTGCCATAAATTATAAACACCGAAAAGCACAGGCGTGTGCAGCTCATCGCCAGGCTGGTGGCCACAAGACCAGCAGAGGGTACAAACGTGGGCTCAACCCCCTTCTTGCAACTTCGGCTGAAGGAACAGAACAGTCTGCGAGATAATTTTTTTCTCCTCTTTTCGCTTCTCAGTTGCAGCAGGAGAGGTTCTGTACAGAGGTGGTGACCTTCAGTGGAAACACGTACTGCACACAGGGTGAAGCTGTGGCAGGACCTAATCAGCACCCTTCCAAAGGCAGAGGCAGCCACCTCCACTCCCGAGACCTCCCCAGCCCGTGCTCCCCTTCAGCTTAAAACCTTCCTTCCCCCCGCAGAGCCTGACTAAAACCCCTAAGGCAAAGGCTTCCGAGATTTCTCGAACTCGTTTTTGCAGAGTTGGGAACACGTGACGGTGCGTGGAGAACGTTTTAGCGGTGCAAACGTGAAGACGTGCCCGTGCCGTGAGGGGGTAGGGGGGATGTGGGGCCGGGCCCGGCGCAAGCCGTGCCCCTCCCGCCGTGCACCCCCCCGCCCCGTGCCCGCGCCTTACCAAGCGGTCGTGCGGGTGCAGGCTGCAGTAGCTGCTGGACTGGGGGATGTGAGAAGAGTTGCCCAGCATGCCCCCGTATCCGGGCTGGTTCATCCCGCTGGAGGAGCTCCACGGGTCGCTGCTGTGATGGCCATCTGTAACACAGGAGGGGAACACCGCTGGCCGCCGGCACCAGACCCTGCAGAACCGCCGGCTCTGTGCCTCTGCGGACTCCATCCTGATGACCCCAACGGGGCTACAGGGCTATGCCGCTTTAGCATAAAGCCACGTACTTTAATAAAAATGAAGCCGAACTGAGCAACGGTGAATGCTCGTGTCATCCTGCAATGCTTCATTACAGTCACATCACTTAGGCTTGAAAGTTTCCTGCTGCTTTATGCCTGCTCTGGTACCATAAACTCAAGCACATAAACTCCGTTAAAACAAATTTCATCAGAGACAAAAGTCTGAACATTGAAACGAAAATACACTGAAGCCTACAGAACGAGGACGGGCTAACGAGCTTTGGGGAAGCCTCAACTTGGTAACCGATCGGATAATTCCTGAACTTTGAATGTTTCCACATCCAGAAAGTTTTCCGTGTTGTTTTGTTGTCGCTTTTTGTTTGTTTCTTTAAAAAGAGAGTAGCACCACTTGTATGGTTTCTCCTTTTAGGGGTTTCACAGCTTGCGTCTCTGCATCTCCTAAGCACAGCGTTCATCCTTCAGGCCAGTTCACTGCCGAGGTACAATGCGCACTGAAGAGTATAAAAAGGGCTCCCCAAGTTTTAACAAGTAAAAGAGTTGGTTGCATATTTTGCATTTAACTAGACATGCTGAAATGGAATTATAATAATGCAGTGAAATGTATTTTCTACTGGAAGAATGCCAATGCGTTAACAAAAAAAAGAAAAAGGAGGTAACTTTTCCGTAACGATCAGCAGACCTGAAAGACGGGCACGTGGGCTGGAAAAGTTGTCGGCTTTTCCAAACTACAGGAGTTGGTCTAATAGAAAATTATTATGTCTCACCCACAGCCCTGCCTTATTTATACACTTCAAACACCCTGGCAGCAGCAGCACTTCCAGCATCACCTTCCCATGGCTGTTTGAACAGTCATTTAACTCAGATTTATGTCTTCAATACGAATCTGCGAGAAGATAACATTTAAAAACGCAGAATGGCTAAGCACTACAAAGGGTAAATATTTGATTTCATTAGAAGCCTATTAATCCCCGGCTTTATAGCTCTATAGGAGTTTCATAGCAGGTTGCTCTTTGGGCGGTATTTATTCGTGTTTTAAGCCAAGAGCACCGTTTTCTTTTCAGTCATGGTCTATACTTCCCACCGCTCAGGAAATGGCCCAGATGCAGATCCCCCACCACAGGAGGTGACCCACGGGGTCAGCGCTTTAAACGATGTCCTCTTCCCTCCCACGAGGGCCCACCAGAGCTGGTGGAGGACCAGCAGAACCCCTCCTTGCAGCGCTCCAGCCCCGGACCCGGGGCCGGAGGGTGCAGTGGTCCTTCCTGCCCGCATCCCTGCCGGTCCTGCTTGCTGCCGCTCCTTCGCAGGCAGCCAGCTCGTCCTCCCGCGGCAGCTGCCTAATGGAAACCCAGACACGAGCATCCTCGAACGAAGAGCCGGAGACGTGGCGGAGCTCCGCAGGAGATGGCCCGGTCACCCCGCGACAGGGAGCCGAGCCATCCCCAGGGATGCTGAGCAGTGCCCATGACCTTCAGGCGGTGGGGACACAAAAGTGGGTTGTTTTCTTTTTTCCCTAAGGGTGGGAATCGGAAAGTGTATATATAGGTACATAGAATAAAAGCCAATCCCTTGCCCTGCAAATACTTTAG